TATATTTGTAAAATCTCAGCGAGATTGAAATGAGTAATTCCAACGTTTCGTTCGGTAATCTGGTCCGAACTTCTTCAGGGAAATTAATCGAAATTAACATAACAGAAGTTTATATATAGAAGGAATATCACTTGTTTTCAAAACCTTTGTCCAATCATGAGTCATTCAGCAAGTATCAACAAGTATAATAAACAAATTTTATGAGCTGTGATCAAAATTTGACCTCGGACTTACAAATATTGGTCTACTTTTGTTAAACACTTTAAACAGAGTGTGTATGCGTGTGTGTGGGTAAACAGTTGTAAAACATTTCTTAACGTCTCCATAGGAAGATATAGACAGTCAGGAATTTGACCAAGTATTAATAATTAGTGATACATATCCATTTTTATTTATTAATAAGGATTTCCTATGCATCAGCTAACATCACGCCTTCATGTCTGTTCAAACTGTTAGTATCTAGAATTTTAGGATTAGAGTTTAGTAGAAGCACCCTGTCGGACTTATTGCTTTGTCTTCTTTCTGAAGATTGAGCTGCCTTATTCGACCTACTGGAGTTGTCAGGTGACTCGACAGCTACGGATTTAGGATATGCATTCTGTTGCAGACAACGGAGAGTGAAAACAGGATGATTGTGCCAATTACACAGTTTCTTTGTTAATTTAATTCGATTGCAAAATAATAATTCAAATGAACTGTCGTCAAGATTTGACAGAATAGTTCTAAAATATTTGGGCGCCGAGTGAGAAGTAGACATTTGTAAAAGATTATATTTGTATATTTATATCTGTCAAAACAGTTGGTTGATTTAGAATTTCATAGCTTTTCACTTTTGCCACAAATTTATTATTAAACCGGGAAAAACCGCAATAAATGTTTAAAAAAATATATTTGAAACCCTTAATGCATACAGTTACATACATTGAAACATCTGAGTTTTGATTTGAAACACTGTAGCCTTGTCCTTAAATAGACTCTAAGTTTTTATTAAGGTGAGTTATGTAACGAAATAACTCGAGCAATACAGTAAGACTTTTGATTTTTTTTCTAATATTTTGTTTCAGCTGTTACCTTGGGACAAAAACGTTTTGATCAACGATAGGTTCAGAAGTGATTTTTATTTACCAGCTCTTAGAAACTGTACAGAACGATAATTTTGGCCCTGATAGCCAATAATTTTATTTCTAAACTACGGAAAAAGTAACATCTGAATAACATGATTATACTCAGAATTCATACCGTTTTTGCCCCCGAAAGTGAAAATCATAAATTGAATTTTAACAGAGATAGATTGTTCAGTCATAACTTCATAAACCTGTGTAGCTTTAAAGGTTGAAGTGATTCCCTAGTTGATTCTAGCATGTACTTAATACTGTCAAAGTTAGGTTATAATTCTGAGATTCCTTACAAACATGGTAAAGAACATAATAGGATATGACCGAAGATGGAGTGAAAATTATTGTAACATTCACTTCCGTGTTGTGGCTTAGAAAGTAATCACCATTTCATGAACAAAATAATAATACACAGCTAGGAAGTTCATAGGTAATTTATTGGTTTCATACCCGGTTTTATTCATTGAATGAAACAGTTCATTAGGCAAGTGAGTACACTTATCTCAAATATTTGTTGAAAAAATTAACTACTCTTAATAGAGAAACAGTAGTTTCAGGAATAATAACTGAAATCTTATCTGCTGTCTATAAATGACGGAATTCACATCTGATATTGTGAATCTCATCTATTCTTATTCTCCATGCTGCATAAACTATTTCACCGAAGTAAATTTTCAACTTAGTTTAAATCTTCACTTATATAACCATCATATTAAAAACCTATTTTATTTACGTAACATGATTCAGTGAGTCACTGAGTATGAAATCCGGACCGGACTAAATATCTAGCCTTAATTTTTGTGAAAATTAGACCGACTTCGGGTAAAAGGAAACCTTAAATCCGGAAATTACTGAACAGCTATCATGTCCTACAGTAAAACTTTTGAGTGATGCAAATGACTGTTCTCGCCAAGAATCACGCTAAATATGCAGGAATTCAATGGTCTATTGTTTTCATTAACTGCTGATTTATAAATTAGTGACATCACTATTCATTGGTGAATGTATGTCATGAGATACGGGATGATTTTGCGAGAAATTAGGCTTCGGAATCATTGGAATCCTCACACTTCTGATAACTGCATATCGCTCAACTTTCAAAAGAATTTCGTTGAGTTACTCTGAAATATTGCGACTTATGCAGACTTCTAAATTAGGTGAGATAACAGACGATTACCAGTCACTTTAAGTGTGAAGATAATATTTCACGACTATAGTCTTGATCGAGCTGTTACTTAACACTGCTGCAGAGTATTTTTGATTGGACACTAATCAGTAACTAGTGTAATACGTCTAGTCCTATCTTTCGTGCAGACTGTGTTCTATCAGTCACGTTTTGTGATGTGGCCACCACTGCAGAGTCCCAGACTAGCCTAAAATGACCATCTAGTTTTCTTATTCTGTATGGTTCTCTGACTAAAACTGGTTGGATTTGAAATCTGTCTTTAAAATTATTAATTTATAAGCAATCAATTGTTAAAGCCATCAGAATTTAATTTTGTTAGTAGAGCAATGGAGTGAATGTAAAAACAAGAAAAAGAATTTTTAAAATTTTACCCATAAGTGTGACTGAAAAGTGACTCGATACAGATTAATAATAATAATAATAAAAGTCATAAAAAGACTATAAAATCCAATTATTTCGAAGTCTGTCACATCATTCAATTTCCGACTAATTCTATTTCTGTAATAAACATTTTATTTTAGCAATAATAGACGATTAAGCTCGCATAAAATCAATAATTCATCCCTTGAATTAATCTCTTATTTTTATTATGTTATTTTAGAAAGTTTTAAAATAAACTAGGGAAGGACATTTTAGAGTAATTAACAATTAACAATTTTCTAACGACGTTAAATTTTGTCATGAAAATAACAGGTAGCATGTGATCAGTAGAATTTTTAAAGACACTAATTTAATGTTTGTCTATCATTAGATCCATATTATTATGCATATTATTCGTCTCTTACAAATATTAGCTAAAGGACTATTGAACATCAGAAAGCCCTAGAAAGTTGATTCTCTTTGACTCTTCACCTTTCAGTAGTTCACACTGATGAGCCATAAGATTTAGTATCAGTTTTGTGTACCTTGTTTCAGACAGGTTGCTACAGGTCTCACCATAGAAAGCATCACCTACCTACTTATTGTACATCTTAGGTAACACTTTCATAAATTGTAATTTGCATTAAGTCAAACCTAATTAGTCACCACGGGCAACATCTTGCTAACAATAGGTGGTTGAACACTGCCAGGCGGGTTTTTCGATAATTTTAAACGACTAAACCAATAAAAGTAAATAGTATTCCATAGATGTGGATGCAAAAGAATAATGCTATCCAACTAAATGAATGCATATGGACGACTAAAATATGTAACTTGAAACAACCTATCAACAAAATGGTGGTTAGATGAATTTCTACTGAAGCAGCACAGCTTTATATTGTATTAAAAAGGAATAGAAAAGACAGAAAATTCAGGTTGTTTCACAGAGCAGTATGAATATAAAGTTAGTGTCACTTTTTATGTATCACACTTCCTACTAATTAAATAAACTGTATTCGAAATGATACGTTGTCACAGATATGTTTTAATTTTTTTTCCTTCACGTCCCCAGTGGAACATAGGACTTCAAGCTAGTGGCAGTGTTAATTTTACGAGATGGGGTTGCTAGACTCATGCCCAACCTTTCCTCTTCACCAGTATTATTTCTGGCTTAGCGAGGTAAAGGAATGCGCTGGCCGGGGCTCGAACCCCGAACCATGTGCATGGTCGGCGAGCGTCCTAACCGCTATGCCACCAACGCTTATGTTTTAAATGCGTCGGTGGCACAGTGGTTAGGACTCCCGCCGACCATGCACATGGTCTGAGGTTCGATCCCCTGCCGACGCACACCCGATATCTATGGTCGGCCTGCAAAATTTGGGCTACCGATATCCATGCTGAAAATTCCATACTTGTACTGAAAATACGGTATGGCATCAAGCTGTAATCAAAATAAATAAATAAAAATAAATAAAAAGACAGGTTAAGTAGTTCTTTTGTCTAAATGTATAAGATATTGTATAAATCATGAATCATTAAGTCATTCTCATCTGCTAAAAATACTTTCATGCGAAGAATGAAAAGTAGGCATTAACAAGTTACTAAGTGGCAGTGGCACAGCGGTAGAATGCTCACCAACAACGCAGGTGGTTCGGGGTTCAATCCCTGGTCGACGCACTTCTTTACGTCGCTAAGCCTGTAATAAGACTGGTAAAGAGGGAAGGTTGGGCATGAGGATAGCAACCCCATCCCGTAAAAATGAATACCACTGCTACCGAAACTTCAAAGCTGGATCTTGAAGCCCTATGTTCCACTGGGAACGTAAAGGAATAAAAAAACAAATTATTATCCATAGATTATACTGGTTACTTTCAATTCCTGTACGAAACTACTATATATATATATATATATATATATTATTGACTTGTACATCCCCTTCATATGTCCACCAGTGATCTGGTTCGTTCGATAAATTATGGCAATACCTTTTTCAGATGTAATATGTGAATCATTAAACTGCAAGTGAATAAATCCATGGTAAAGTGGTCTTTGAAAGACTTGTAACGCTTGAATTTCCATCTACTCAGACTGGTGCTGCAGGTAAATGAACAGGTGTCAACCAGAGTAAAAGCCAGATAGTAATCTATCTCTGCTTCGTTCATTACCATCATTTCCTAAGCTACCTTTGAAGAAGTAAATAAATTCTCATTCTAAATAATAAACTAACTAATGGATTTGTTTTCTAATGACAAAATATGTGGCAATAAATGAATAATTAATAAATGCAATTCAAACCCCTTTTAAATTTGTTTAATAATATACACCAGTGAAAAGGATATCCCCATTCAATTATACTTCGCGCTGCTTTACGAATAAGATTATTCCTTGAGAATACAAAAAGTGCTCGATTTGTTGAACTTTGTGATTCGGGTAAATCAATATTCAAGGTATCTTTAGCCAACTGATTAATTGTTTCATGTTTTGGATCACGGCTTAATTTGCCATCAACACTTGTTCTATTTTTTATATGTAGATGAGAAGTATCATTATTTGTAACATGTTCATTCATGCAATTATTCATGGAGGTCATTATGAAGAGTGCTGGTTATTAATGGTGACACTGTTCATAATCTTGTAATTTATTTACAAAATAAATTCAGAAAGAAAAAAATCTTCTATACGAAGATAGAAAGTATTATCATCAGGAAACAACTTTCGCTGATTTCTATATAAGTAAACATGGAATAAATTCATAAGTATTCATAGAATTGCACTGTGGTAATATTCACACCGTAATAACTGTGGTATTTTGTTGTTGACAATGACAACGATGTAAACTGACATTCCAAACATCTTTATTCCATGAGTGCGTCTTTTTTTTCAAACTTCTAGCTACTTTTTCATTTAATATATAATCCACATAGACGAACAGTTCACGTACGTAATTCTAAGACTTGTGCAGACAACGTATAATATATATATGGTAGGTTGTTGAGTTGGTTGATATCTGGATAGACAGACATATCCAACTACAGATGAGCACTAAAAACTAGTATATACTTATATTTGAAACAGTTCTCATGCTAGTCTGTACCACTCACAGTGTGTCTGCTCAGCCATTTTAAACATGGAATGATAATGTAGTAGTAACGTTATTTCTGTTTTTAATGGGTGAGGAAAAATGAGCCGATTTTTAAAATATACAGGGAGAAGATTTGCTGCCTGTTGTGAAAAAAACAACAACAAACAAACAACTGTTGCAAGGTAAGAACAACATTGTGCCGATGACCTGCATTCATTTCTGTATGCTTCCATGTGGATATTATTTTCAATATTTGGATACAGTTTGCTAATTTGAGATATCTTTTCTCAATGCACTTATCTGGATTTATTTCAAGGTTAAAATTAACCTGAAATAAGCATCTCTACACGCACATATGAAAACACAGTCGACACAGTTCATGATTCAGCCAATCAATAGAAGTAATGGCACGTATTGTATCAATCACACTGCAACTGTGTATTAACTTCTGCTAATTGCAGTGAAATAGTAACCTGTTTTGGTGGGTAGGACTCGTGGCTATAGAGGGTAGCAATTCAGAGGCCGACAGTCCAAATCCTACCATGACCTAGGTTATCATTTCGCCCTCAATTATCTCTTGTTGTGCCAATTATAATCTACCAGTCCTAGATTATCCCAAAAAAACAGTTGTTTCTAGGTTGCCAAATCATACCATCTAACTGACTAGTGAATACAGAGGTAATAATTCTATAGAAGAGTGATTAAAACTGAAGTAGGTAGAAAATTTAACATGGAGATATTAGACAAGAAATAAGCTGAAGATAGATGATATGAAGAAGGGATAAAATCTCTGAATAGCAAACAGTTTACTAAGAACCAACATAAGGATATAGTGAATTAAAATCAATTGAAGACATTTGGAATATGAAGCAGTGTTGGAAGTAGAGATAACCTTATACTGGCAGAATGATACTGTTTTAGTGGAAGTTATTCCTCAGACAGCTGGTTGAAATCTAACTGATAATCAAGTTTGCACTTTCAGCTATAATTTATTAAAAAATGAACAATATTTAGAAATTATAAATTAAGCGATGCGTCGATAACAGCGGTTAGGACGCTCGCCGACCATGCACATGGTCCGGGGCACTCCTTTACCTCGCTAAGCCAGAAATAAAGCTGGTAAAGGGGAAAGGTTGGGCATGAGGCTAGCAACCCCATCCTGTAAAATAAACACTGCTACAGAAACTTCAAGCCACTAGCTTGAAGCCCTATGTTCCACTGGGGAACGTGAAGGAAAAAAATTAATTAATTAAGCAATAAAATGAATATATAAAGGAAAGAATAGTAAAGAAGGCGGTAAGAATATAACCAATAACCAAGGCAACGAAAAAGCGAAACCATAGAGTCGATTTGTATACATATTGGTTAGATTTCAGACGACAAATTACTGCTACTTCTGAACATCGTGGTGTGATAAAGACAATGTGTTCCAACGGAATATTATTCTCACATATTCCCATCGTTCAAGACTGCATTAGAAACTGAATACTATATATGTTTTTGAACATTCTGTTTCATGTCGTTTAATGTAAACCAAAATCACAAGCCCAGTGATTGGCTAAAGAATATAATAAGTATGTATATAAATAGCGATTTGATCATTTGAAAATATACCTTGACTTCCGTGTCTTTCATACTGCTGTTACAATGGTAATCTGACATTACTTTACATCTAAACTATATATATGGAAAACTGTATTAAAAGCATGATACGTGTGGCGGATTCGTCTACAAGTAACACCGCTAGTTAGCTTCTTCGCGTTTCAAGCTTTTGTTTAAAAATATGTGGGAGAAGATATATTTCGTGATACTAATGGCAACAGACGTAATTAGTGTATAGTCCGGCATCTATTCTAAGTGCAGTGATAATTAATAACTCTCCAGAAAGGTGCTTCACAAGAGACGTACTCTGCACAGCTTTTCAGTTTTAAAGAGAATTAAAATAGCGGGAAACCAAGTGAAAAACGAAGCATTTGTAATACAGAATGACTAGCATTATCTGCAAAGATTTTAAGTTTTCTTATTTTACTTTCTTTAATTACAAGTTATTTTAATAAGCGCCGTATCTATCATCACGGATCTTTTTCTTTGCAGTAATACCTACAGCAAACACTTAATTCATAGTTTCAGAAGAAAGTATTACTTTTTGTAAGTTATAGAATACCTGTGTATGTAAAAGCCTTACAATTTAAAGTAGTCACGTTTGACAGAATCAGAGTAAATTAGCGCCTTGTACTTTTTCGTAATTTTTTTATTTGTTCCTTGTGTTAGAATACTACTGCCGCAATTATTTTATGTTCACAGTCAACCTTTTTCAATCAATATGAAATCAATTGTTACAGTCAGAAGAAGTAGGTCGAAAAATTGTTGAAGTGATAAATTTAATTTGTCTGTACATTTGTCAATTTTCAGGATATACTGCATAAATGTGCATAGATTATTGTTACATAGCGTATTTTTTTTGTAAGATCTAAGCAGCAACATGAATCTATCTTTTAAGAAATGTTACAAGTTTTAACGCTTTTCATCTTATGAAGATTTGTTGCACAAGTGGTCACAGAGAATGCCTATTGAATTCGTTTCTTAGCTAAATATAACTCAGAATCGAAAAATAAAACATTTAAGGTGATAAACTAATAATAAATTTTAGTGAAGAGACTCAGTTAGAACCAACTAAGCAAGAAAAGTCGGAAATTATACACATTATTTGTAGTATCTGTTTCAAAGGGTTCATATATAAATAGGTATCACATTCTGATTTCAAGTAAATCAGAATGTAAGTTAACTAATTTTTTCTATGCCAGTAGAATCCTGAGATTTTTGGTTATAAATTTATTTCAGGGTTTCATCATGAGCTGACATCAGTTAGAGATCCATTGGAAGACTGGGGAGTACTGGACATCCATTTCGTCCTAGTTTGGGAATCTTCATCAGTACGTACCCACCGCCAGGGTTCGAACCCACGACCTTCCGGTTACAATGCGAGCTCGTAGACAATTCAGCCGCTAGGAGCCGATCCAATCGCCGTCCCATGAATTCCAACTTTTGCCAATTCACGATATAGAGCGACCACTAGCCAGTGTTACCGCTGGTGAGTATTTGTCCTCACACCGAACCTTCCGTACCCCACTGGTCACGACTTCTCACTCGAACTCAGTTAACTATCCACCTGAATACAGCTAGTCGCTAGTGAGCATCATAATGACGTCCAAGGGTTGGTTTGCAGGGATTTGATTGGTTTCAGGATTTCATCATGAGCTGACATCAGTTAGAGAACCATTGGAAAACCTGGGAGTACTGGACTGGATCTGAATATAAATTTATTGTACCAGGCTTCTGTTTTCATGCAACAGTATCTTTATCCTATTATGTATTTTCAGTTGACAGGATTAAATGTATCTATGAGATAGAGTATTACAGTTTGAATAAGCCGTTATTACTAATTAGTGATATAAATGGAGGTAGGAAACATTCTTTAATGAAGGTGAAATTCAACATAAAGCTATCGTGTTTGTGTATGTGTAGAGACAGTGAAGAATACATACTGTGGTCGTGAATTAAAAGATTCACTTCGAATAAAAATCATGTTAATTGAAATTCTAACATCTTTAAAAAGAAAGATAAAAACATACAGCTCCGCCTTAACAACACAAGATAGTTATTAGCATAATATCAAAGACTAAACAAGAATATTGAAAATCTCTTCAAAACTAGTATTCACATACAGAGATTGAAAACAAGGGGATAAAATTCTGTGCATGCGCATGATTCATTTTCATCAAATCGTGTTAGGCATAACAGGCAGACTAACACTATTTAACAGATCCAATCGACATTTTGTAGTACACTTTGTGTTGTCAAAACTTAATATTTATTTTCATATAGGTTTAAATATTCTGGTTTTATGAAACACAAGATAAGATGACACTTATTCAATTTGATAAATAAACTAGTTAGCTCTACTTTCCTAGTGACTCTAAAATATGATCGTTGTCAATTATTATGGACATTGAACGTTTGTTTATTGGCTTTGGTCGCCACTGGCGGGCAACTTGAAGGTGCCAGTGATTCAATCGTGTACAATTTAGAAGAAGATGAAAGAATACGAATAAAAGTACAATACATTCCTTGTAAAAACATTTGTTTATAGACTTAGTACAGAATATAAATTTTAACAGTCAAAGAATACAATTTCTTGTCATCCATTGTGTTTTTGAATTTAAAGTCGATATCTGTGCCTAGTGGTTGTCGATTCTGAGTGTCTTCAGAAATAATACGATCTTAGGATAAAGTCCCATGACAATTGTTATTACTATTATACTGAAATAGGGTATTGTCTTCAGTATTATTGAAAAAGTCAGTTCAGTCATATTTTCATCACCTAACCCAAATCAGTTAGTGAATCATTTTTTTTCCTTCACGTTCCCCAGTGGAACATAGGGCTTCAAGCTAGTGGGTTGAAGTTTCTGAAGCAGTGTTTACTTTACAGGATGGGGTTGCTAGCCTCATGCCCAACCTTTCCTCTTCACAAGCATTATTTCTGGCTTAGCGAGGTAAAGGAGTGCGTCAGCGGGGGGTCGAACCCCGGACCACGCGCATGGTCGGCGAGCGTCCTAACCGCTATGCCACCGACGCACATAAGAGAGGAAATAAGAGAGCTAAACTGGCGTTTTAAACTTCAGTATTGCAGATTGATCAGTAGTCTACGACAGAGTAATTCTTGTTTCTTTGTATTATAAAGAGGTTCCATCTAGCCAATATATATATATTTATATATTTGATATTCAAGTATTGGTTTGTAGGGATTTGGTTGCTTGGTTACAGGATTTCATCATGAGCTGACATTAGTTAGAGA